TCCAAATATATACAATGCCTGCCTCAAGAACGGAATATTCCCAGAAATTTGGAAAAGGCAGCAGCTCGTTTTAATCACCAAAGGAAAGGGAAACCCTGACTCACCATCAGCGTATCGACCACTCTCTTTGCTGGACATAGTTGGAAAACTCTTAGAAGGGCTGCTAAAACCTAGAATAGAAGCGGCTATCGCTACCGGTGGCGGACTTTCCTCAAGACAGTACGGATTCAGGCCCGGTAGATCAACAATTGGAGCTATAAAACACGTAACAACAACAGTAGAAACTGACCGGCATTACATTAAAGACGGAAAGAGTAATAAAGTACTTAGGCGTAAGGCTAGACCCCAAGCTAACGTATTGGGCACAAATGCAGCATGCAGCCGCAAAAGCAGCAAAGGTAACGGCTTACCTAAGCAGATTAATGGCCAATATTGGTGGACCGACCCAAAGTAAAAGAACACTTCTAATGTCCACAACCTTGAATATTTTGCTAATAGGACCGCGAAAAAACATGTATATCAGAAACCTTTAACTGATGAAAGTATTATAAAAAGAGAATATCATAGCTATACACCATATTTAAAGACTTTTAACAACAATGATGAGATTCGTATACCTATTCAAAATCAAGATTTATTTGTATTACCGAGTGAAAGTGTAATCTATATTCATGGCTTCATAACGAAAACTGATAACACTTCTACAGAAGTAAAACTTAAGAATAATTTTGCAGCATACTTATTTGATGAAATACGTTAAGCAATTAATGGGTTTGAAGTAGATCGCACTCGAAATCTCGGAGTTGCAACTACTAAAAAAAATTTTATATTATTGAATGAGTTAGAAAGCAATGCATTGAAAAATGCTGGTTGGTGTTTACAAGAAAATCTACTTCTAACGAAGACTCACTTTAAAAATGCTGTTGGGATTCGCTGAAGACTATAATAAAATAGTATTAAATGTTAAACATGAGTTAATCTTTCAACGTTCCAGATCTGATGAAAGAGCTTATCATTCAATTTCCTCAAATGATTAATTAAAGCTTACAATATTAGATGTAGTATGGAAAATTCCTCATATTCAATTATCAGATTTCGCAAAACTGGAAATGTATAAAATAATCACTAATAAAATTCATTTCATTTCATTTATTTACTTTGTAAGTACAGTAAAACTCGAAGTCTTTAAGCGTACTAATAACAAAAATTTCAATTACAAGATTAAACTTAAGCTAAGACAATAATATAAGTAAGTATATGAACTACATATCATTCTTGCTATATTATAACTAACACTAAGGGATAGAAGACGTACAGAAAACTTGAAAAGACAGAGGATGGGAAGTGGATAGTTAATTTTTGAGTAGATTTGCAACTGCTGTTTTGAAGCATTGAATCGAACTTGCACATTTAATTGAATTTGGTAGTGAATTCCATATTCTGATAGGACTAACAAAAAATAATCTTGAGGCTACTAACGTTTGGTATTTAGGGACAACAATATTACAGGTACGAGACGATTGAACAAATTTTAATTTACGGTATAGGTATACTGGTTTGCGGTTTCTGATCAGTTTGAATAAGAATAAAACATTGCGATAATTTAAGTAACTTTCGATGCTATAACCGAGAATATTTACAGTGAACAATGATATATGGTAAAATTTTTTCTTACAATATATAAACCTGGCAGCATTATTTAAAGCTCCTTTTAATTTATTCTTCGACTCATAATCAAGATTTCCATACACTATTTCACAATACGCGATATGGGGAACGATAAGTGACTGAACTAGCTTCAATTTTGTATTATTTGGTAGGCAGTAACATGTATGCCAAAGGTTTCTTAAAATAAAGTATATTCTAGAGATACAGTGGTTGATATGATCTGTGCAAGTCAAACGAGAATTAATTTTAAAGCCCAGATTAGTCACAACATATCGAAACTTTAACTCAGTTTGCCCCAATATAATTGGCGATAGACAACTCAGATCAAAAGAATGAGGTGATATAGGTATAACCTGCGTTTTGGCAGCATTTAAGCAGAGGCTATTTGTTTCGGCCCAGATCTCTATTCTTAGATCTTCATTTAACCGAAACACAAGGTCTTCCCCAAGTCCAATTGGTCGCGAGTAGTAGATCTGTGTATCATCGGCATACAGGTGAATATAAGCATTTTGACAGCAGTGAACAATATCATTTACAAATATACTAAAGAGTATAGGACCCAGGATTGAGCCTTGCGGTACACCGGAATTAATTTTCCTGCGACAAGAAATTGTTTCTCTACATTGCACTTGTTGGTACCTGTTTGATAAATACGCTTCCATAAACTTAAGCGAAGTAGAGTTGAAACCAAAATAGTACTTCAATTTTGCATGAAGAATGTCATGATTTACGGTATCAAAGGCTTTAGAAAAATCTAATAGCACCAGGATAGTGAGTAGTTTGTCATCATAAGGAGGACGAATATCTTCCATTACCTTCAAAACCGCTGTAGAACAACTGTGACTTGACCGAAAACCAGATTGGACCTCACTCAACAAGTTATGATTATTCAAATGTAGAACTATCTGGGACGAAATAAATTTTTCAAAAACTTTGGCTAAAACAGGTAAAATGCTAATAGGCCTGTAGTTTTCGGGAGAGTCACAAGACTCGCCTTTGGGAACAGGAATAATATATATTCTATTTTTCTAAACATTTATAGCCTAAATAAAAAAAATTTAATAAAAAAACCTAAAGATCAACAACATTAAAAAATATGTAAAAAAAATAAATATATACATATATATATATGTATATACACATAATAATATATATATAAAAAACAATCATAATGAAATCATTTAACTGCGATATGTGTG